TTATCGGGAGACGTGCCGCCTGCTCTATAGCTGTGCCGTGGTCTACCCATCTCTCATTACTGGTGCTTCACCTTTTGCCACCCACCCCATACTGAGTTTTGACAAGTCACTAAGCATAACTTAGCTAGTTAGACTTAGGGTGGAATTTCTTAGTAAGTCATGGTCGATTGCCTGAACTTAGCTCTATTCCAGCCTTGCACTTAATTGATGCAAGCTGCCCAGTTTAACAATAGTGAAGCTTGTTATGACTTACTTTGATATATATTTTTTTTACACAAGCAATACTTTTTAAAAAATTCCAAGGACATTTATTATTGTCATATCTTATGTACTCATAACTTCATATCTATGTCATAAATTCGTTGTTTTTCCTTTGTTCTTGCAGTATTTTTTACAGGTTTCCACTGACTGCTTAGAACTGGTTGTCATACTTCTAAAACAGAACTTGGCGTTAGTTAATTTCATGAATACAATGTAAACTTATACTGAACAAAAAATGTCATTATTCACTGTTGTCTTTATGTCTTATTACAATTTACATCCAAAACAAATTGTTTGTTTACTATGCCCTCTAATGGCATATCACAATGTTGTAATTGATGTTGTAGCCTACTCGCCTATCATGGCCAATGTATACTCATTTTGCCTGTAAATGGCCTATGTTTCAATGTTATTAATTTTCGTCTAAAGACATTGTTATTTACATTTTTTGCTTAACTATACTTTGAAAGACACATGAAAAGATATTGTTTTATTTCTGGTCCGCTGAAAATTGCGTTACCACGAAATTTTAGCGAGGAAAGGGGGTGTGACGGTAAAACCGTTTAGGCTTACATTTATTTTATTCTTCCACCACCCTCTACCTGCTCTATTACCCCCCCCCTCTACAACTACGTACATTTTTATCTTTCGTCCCCCTCGCAGGCCCCTCTCTAGTTGGCTAGTTTGTCCACGTGACACACCGCCAATGTAAAGGCATATAGGGGGATGCAAAAAAGGGATTCTCGCACTTTTCCAGCACTGAGCTCAGCTGGTGGTGTCGCACGCGGCGTTTGGGCCGTCGGCCCTACTCCTACGTGCATGGTTTTGTGTTATTTACTTCATTCATTCTATAATAACTGTATGGTTTGTAATACATATAAATAAGTATGATTCGTATGTTTAAGTTTTAAAAGTATAATAAATTAAATTGTACTATTGCAGTAACTTTGTGTTTTTAAGTAACTTATAGTTATTTGTATTTTACTACAGGCCGTAAACTGCGGGCATTGAGTTGACCCGTAGTCATCGGACCTGATATTGTATTTTATACACCGGCCGTAAACCCTTGCCAGAGTCAAGAGGTCATCGGACCAGGTTGTTATTACTTTAAGGCTGTAAACTGCGCACATTGAATTGTAGCGTAGTCATCAGACCTTCAGCTTGCCACTATTAAGTTTACTTATTATACTTATTAATATTACTGCATTAGCTGCTGAAACTTTATTATTACTTTCTGCTGAAACTTTATTATTACTTTACCCTGTCCGTGACTTGGTTCACGTGACAGTTGAATATATACTTAAAATATATTTACTTTATTTCCGGTAGAGAAGCGGCACAGACCCTCTTACCGGTTGAATACCAGCATTTCACTGATTTTCCTGAATTATCACAACTAATACGCATAAAATATTACTTATTTTTTCAATACCGTTAACATGCAATAATTATTAAAATTTAAATTTAAGGAGTCACCTGTTTTTCACATTACTAGATCTATATCTAGATGCGGGTGATTTTAGTATTACGTACCTAAAGCGATAGATTACCGATTTGTTTGATTGCTTGTAGATCTAGATCTAGACTTCAAATTTCGATTCTGGATCTACTATACTAAATACTAACTATACTTAGTATAGTATACTAAGTACTAGTAACTAGAATCTAGATTTCTAGTACTAGCTTACTGTTACTTACTAGATCTAAATCTGAATCTAGATATCTAGATCTAGATGATCTAGATCTAGACGATCTAGATCTAGATAATACTAGATTTAGATTCTAGAATCTAGATCTAGAATCTAGATTCTAGAATCTACCTACTACCTAGCCTAGATCTAGAGTCCTTATTTGAAACTACTAGATCTAGGCTAAAGATTTTTAAAATTTCACGACTCTGTATGACGGATATAGATCTAGATTCTAGATTTAGATCTAGTCTAGATATCTAGAGATCTAAATATTAAATAACGAAAGTTCAGTATGAAGTGAAGAAGCCAGCAACAATGTCGTCTGCTAGGACAACCTCACCACGATCTAAGATCTAGATCTAGATCTAAAAGTAATGTACAAGGCGATTAGAGTACCAGAAATCGCAATATTTTATTACACTCCTTAGTTTGGTAAAGTTACAATAACCAGTAAAATGTAAAGGAGTAATAAAAGAGATTATACATTACAGTTAATTAACACTAGCTACCTCTAATTCGAGCTTTAAATTAAACAAACTAAAATGTATGAAATATTATTGAATATGGTATCGATACTGCCCACACAATAATTAAAATTTACGTTTCCAGATTTTTAAGGCTATAAACGTAAACTAAATCAATTTTTTGAAATAAGTTTTTTTAGTTACGACGATCTGAAAGTTTAGTGTGCAACATATTATCTCTTTCCAAAAAAAATGAAATACTTGTTATACATTTACTGTTTATTGTGTTAAACAATTAGATCTAGCTGCATAGCTGCGATTTTCTTTCAAAACAAAATCGGGGAAAATCGCTTTCAGGGCTTACGATTTTGACTGCCCTTTCACTCAACATAGTCGTGTGTCGTGGTTTGTCTCCCACACTTGCTAGATCATCTAGTACACGGGTTCCCAACCTGGGGGTCGCGACCCCCAGGGGGGTCGCGAAGGGCTTTCTGGGGGGTCGCCAACTGGTATACTAAACCCCTTAGTAATTTGATACAAAACATAAATATTTAGAAGAATTTTTGAAATTCGGCTTTACTAACATCACTGGAAAGGGAATAGAGAAGAAGCAAAGCGTACTGTACAAAGTTTTTCTCAGACACGAGTTTATGAAATCTTCAAAACTAAAACGTCATTTGAGACGAGTCATTCGAAACACACCAAAAAAGATATGGAGTTCTTTCGTCAGTATGAAGCTAGTTGCAAACGTCAGAGACTTGATAGAACAGGAAGTTTTCACCATGGAAACACAGCATTAGTGCAAGCATCACATGAAGTCGCGACAGAAAATGCCAAGCAAAAAAATAAACACAATAAGAGAAAATCTCATCAAACGCTGCATGTTGAAGATGGTGAAGTTAATTCTTACATGTCTGTAGATGTTAAATAACACAGTTTTATTGAAATTAAGCTTTCACCATTAGTTGCTTTTCAACTTGATAAATCAACAGACGGGAGTTCGTGTTCGCAGTTGTTGGTCTTTGTCTATATTCATTTAGATGATAGCAAAGAAGAGATGCTCTTTTGAGAAGGAAGCATGGAGATAATAAATACGTTTTTTTTTTAAATTGGATAATTAAAATGGGTTAAAACGGTTGTGAGGGTTTGTACGGATGGTGCACCATCTATGTTCCGTTTAGGTCAAAATCGGGCTTTCAGAAAGCAGTAAAAAAATATTTAACACCCTAACCTCTGCCCTCACCAATCGCCATCAAGACTCCATTGCTAGTATAAGTGGTAAATTATATAAAATCTGGAGCCTTCAAAGAACTGAGCAAAGACCTGAATAAAGATCCCTAGTTTCTGCTCTTCTACACAACAGTGCGCTGGTTGTCAAACGAATTATTGTGAATCGTGTTTTTGAATTGAAATCTGAAATCAAATTGTTCTTGGAAATGCAAAGGAAACAAGACCTTTTGGTATGCTTAAAACGACATAGAGTGGTTGGGGAGAGTATCATACCTAGCAGCATCAACATAAGCATAACCTGAAGCTTCAGGGAAAATGAACAAATATTATCACTCTCCATGATAATCTCGGGGCATTTTTATCAAAGCTGCAAAATCGGCGAAGAAAATAAATCTTGGAAATATTGTAAATTTGAGAAACTCTGCAGTGTGGTAGATGCATCTAATTGTGAGATAATTAAAATTTTGAAAGAAGAAATTTCTGGGCATCTTGAATCAAGTGTAAACGAATTGCAGCGCTATTTCTCTGAGCTGAAAAAAAAAGAATCTGCATTTACGCATTACCCATTCTCTTCTTCCCCCGATGTTGCCAGCATTCACGATGAATTACAAGATGAATTCTTTGATTTATAGAATGATTCCGAGAAAGATAAAAAAAAACTGCACACTCAATTTTGGTGTAGTATTCACCATTCATACCCAAACGTAAAATTGATTGACTTTTCGAGAATAGATTTTCAACACTATTTTTCGATTAAAAACAAAATTAAGATAATGATAATGACATAGGTTGGGGTTAACAAAAAAAATTAATCACGAATGTTTAGTGAATAGTATGCAATTTTACTCATGTTATTAAAACAGTTATCAAGAGTAGTTCATATTGAAAGTCTACTAGAAAATGTTATTTTAGTGCTTATTAATTACCATACTAATTTCGGCTTTTTAATTCAATGGGGGTCGCGGGTCACTTAATTTTTATAAAAGGGGGTCGCCAATCGAAAAAGGTTGGGAACCACTGATCTAGTACATATTAATGTATATATATATACATATATATATATATATATATATATATATATATATATATCAGCTTATTGTTTTATTGTTGTATAATTAGAATCTAGATTTCTAGATCTATTAATTAAATCATCTTTTTGTAGAGGCCTAATTGGAAATTAAGAAGCTATTTTTGTAGATCTATACGAATTCTTAAAAGTAATGATTTTATTAGTTTTAGAAATATTAATGTAAAGTAGATCCTATATAGACTAAGTATTTATCGACTTATTATATTTTGTGTCATTTCATTAAAAAAAAGATTTTAGTGATCGAAAAATTGCTTAGGGGCCTACCTTGCTTTCAAGTCTAGTGACCGCCCTGTCTTCTTCGTGTTGAATGCTGGGATATTGTGTTTTACTTGCGTTGGATGCTAAAAATAGTATTCCTAGAAATCTATTTTTAGAATCGAATATTTCCGAAAGTATGTAATCGACGTTTACAACATAATTATAGAATACATATTTTAGTGCAAACTTCGTACTTTAAATATTAATAACTTTATGTGTTGTTTCTTTATTTAAATTTATTCCTGAGAACTAAGAATTTCAACCATCACTCTCCTAGGTGAGGAATAGGTGTTCAGGATTGGATGTGACAATGTGTGACAATCGGAAGGTTGGGGGGGGGGGGGGGCAAAAGCGGTAGAAAAAATTTAAAAGCTCATTTTAAGCTGCAGTTTTGAATTATAAACAAAGTTAACAAATTAAACGGCTACAAGTCTGTATATACTTCTTATTCTTCTTCGGTCTTAATTTTTAGTGTTGGAAGGGATCGAGCCTTGAGCTTTGCCGACTCGACCACGCCTCCATCACAATGAAGGATACGTGTCAACTGGTTATGCGCCATAGAGGCCATTAACTCCAATTTCAGCCTGCTTTTCTTTTTGGATTTGCTTCCATACCCTTTGTCCAACCAAGAACAAACTACAAGGCAGAAGTTGTTTGATTTTGGAGTAGCTGTCCCCCAGCTAATGAGCCTCATCTGCCCGAGGGTTCGAACTCGAGACTTTTTGGTTTAGCAACCACGGGCTTAACCGACTCGACCACATACTGATTTAACTGTTTTCAAGAAACAGTGCCCGGCAAAAAGTGCTTTCCCGTTTTTCTTAGATGCAGGCAGAGTTTCTTACAGGCATCTCTTGGGTGGGGGGGGGGGGGGGAGGTGGCTCAGAAAGTCTACCGCTTTAATTTGATTTGTTTGTCTAGTATACATCAGTGTTTTCCTGACTTTTTTTTTCTCCGGGGGTGGGGTGGGGGGTGTGGGTGGGAGGGGGGGGCGGTAGACTTTCTTCGGGGGGGGGGGGGGGGGGCGGACACTGTTAAAAGTATATATTTTCAATATAAAATTATATAAATTTCATTTCGTTTGGGGGAGGGGGGGGGGGGCGGTAGACTTTTTTCGGGGGGGGGGGGGGGCGGGCGGGCGGAGATGCCTGGAAGAAACTCTGGTAAACATTACTTCTATTCCCATATGAATCAATTGATTTTAAAAAAATTACCTGGTAGAATCCTTTTATCACTGTTAAACTCTGTCATTTTATTTTACTGACCGTGATTACATATATCTCCTAAAATGTTTAAACGATGAAAATTAGGTAAATATTTAAGACACATATCGTGTAAATCATAGATCTCTAATTCTCAATTGTTAAAGTACGTCCATTAAACTTAGTTTTAAATCTACTAGTTTCTTGCTTACGGTACTGCAAGCCTAAGGACAATGCCGAACTCTAATGACGACACAATCCTGACATAAACTTCATAGTCTAATTTCATTAAGAGAAATATATCCTACCTGACACTTCAAGTTTACATTAGAAAAGGATTTTTATAGTTATAGGAAAGGTAGGTACTGTTGTAACGTTATTTTTTTTGTGTTGTGATTTATGTTTTTCATTAATTTAATTAAAAAAAATGTACAATACAGTTGCATGACTAAAACGTTTTGGCCTCCTGATGAACATAATAACTCGCGTACAATAGTGCGTAATTGTTGGCTAAGACTGACTACTAATTTAGACAAAATTAGTAGTCTATAACTAAAATAGTAGTCTATAATTTATTTTCTACTTTTTAGTGCATTAGTACATAAAGGTTAGTTAATAAAACGTTTTTTTATGAAAATTTTTTTAGTATGTTACATGTTTTTATTTGCAATAGTTTCATGACTAAAAACCATTGCGCGCCTTTTGAACGGTTTGGCGCAGCTACTGAACGTGATAACGCGCTTTTGCCGTGATGACGCGTTTGGATAATCATGTCTATTAATTCGGTCCAAATTTTAACTAATCCATAAATAAACCGGGAATGATCTCCCCTAAACTTTCTCGAATATTCTTATATAACATGGAATATAGACATGATTTTTAATTACTTAAACTTTTAAAAATAGAATAGAATCTCGTAGAAAAAAGAATTGCGCACCAAGCGAACGCCAAAACAAAATGTGCATAATAGTGCGCAATATTAATGTTATTAGTACTTTACAAATTTATATGCGTTTTTTTTCGAGAAACCGGAAATAGCGTAAATTAGTACTTCCGGTCAACTGAAATAACTCAAAATTTGACAGGAGGTAGAAAATTAGATCTTTTACTTACGTATGAAATTTCATTTATCTATCTGAAATAGTACTCAAGTTATAGGCTTTTGAAAAATTCAAAGTGGAAAAAGTACCTTTTCCGGTTATTGGAAATCGCTCAAAAGTTGATCAGGATCTAAGATTTTGATAAAATACTTATATGTGAAGTTTCATCAACCTAGCTGTAACGGTACTCAAGTTATCGTGTTTACACACAGACACAGACACTAACACAGACACACAGACATACGGACAAGATTGCAAAATTATGTTTTTCCGTATCAGTGAGGTGTAAAACGTCGAGATTTGTTAAAATCTCAATTTTTTTTTGCACGATTACGAGACTTTCTCTATACTTCGTATATACGAGAAAGTAAAAATAAATTATGCATCCAATTAAGTAAAATTTAATTTCAGATTGCATTGTTTTCATGTCTTGACCCACGTGCCAACTGTGAACCGTATCTGTCAAGTAGAAGTATCCGAATTTTCGCTCCGGCGTTTCGATCTAGACTGACGACAGACTGACGTGAGTTAAAGATGAAGTGAGTTAAATACTAGCTTGTAAAAAAATTCATAAAAAACGTTTTAATAACAAGCTGTTATGTAAACAAGTTAATTAAAAAAGTCTAGTGACATTTATGCGCAATTTCCTTATGTTATCTAAAAATAGCTCTGACGTATAATGTTGGGGTGCGTTCAAGCTAGAAGAACGATCGGTTTGTAGGTGTTTATGTAATTTTAAAATTTGTGACCGAACGAGAGGATATTTTTGAAAACTTTCTTCGGCAATATTGTTCTAAATTATGACAGGAATCGATTGGTACATGTTTCAAGTCGCTAAGTGGTCTGGTTGCCGAGATATGGGCCAAAAACTGCATTTTTTGAGGTTTTTTGGCTTTTCCGGGAAATACATGAAAGAAACCCGGAATTTTTATAGCCTATGCTCATTCTCGTAACTTGCTTAACATAATTGCTTTTGGAACTAGTCATCGATATTGCTTCGTTGAGGAGGAGATACGACTTAAAGACCGGACACACATTCATCCATCCATCCATCCATTCCCAGAAATGACGAGTTAATAAACGCAATTCTCCAGAATGGAAATTGCGCTAAAAAAAGTAGAAAATAAATTATAGACTACTATTATAAATAACTATAAAGAAAAGCGTGGACCACTTTAGTATCTGTTGGATACCTTTACTAATGCTAAGGAAGACATCCACACCTTGACACCTTGCCAAAAGCAAAATTAATTCAAGCGGACAATTACATAGTTTATATATAGTTTATAATAATTATATCATTATAGTACTCATATTTGTCTTTCAAAAATGTCTTTTAAAAAAGTTTTAATGTGTAGTAAAAGTATAATATATCATTTAGTTTTTTGTTATAATTATGTTTTTGCGTGTTCTTCTTTATATAACTTCTTGCGCTTTTATACTTTTTATGCTACACGAGTTGTTTGGTCTAATCATTTTTCTGTCTGAAATATAATCTGTAAATTTAGTTAATAAAAGTTGGTAATGGCTATATCTGCCCCATGTGGTATGGCCCCGGAGAATGCAGAGCACGTCCTACAGGACTGCCCCGTGTACAACTCCAGTCCCTATGCCCCACTCACGGAAAAACTGTATGGGGTGCCCGCAGATCTGGAGACCACAGTCCAGTTCATCCACAAAATTTTACTTGTTTAAATCTCTTAACATAATAACAGTTAAGAACAAAGAAGAAGAAGTTAACAATAGGTGTGTACAAAATATTTCAAAGACGGTAAAACTACGAACATGTCTGATCTATAAATTATTAATTGAATAGCGCTAGAATCAATTAGACTTAGTATCAGTCTTCGTCAAAAAATAGATATCTAATGACAACACTTTAAAAATTATATTATACTGTAACTCGACGAGCATAAATACACATTGGCGACATAATACTATATAGAAATGTATTATCTGATGTAGTGGAAGGCCATGACGGGGACGGTTGTTACGAGTTTACAAGCCAAATATATCCAAACTTAGCAAAGTCGAACAAAATTTACAGCCCCTATCGCTGAACGATTTAGATAGAAAATAAACAATGTTATCAATGTCCGACCCTTTACCCCCCTCCCCCCTCGCTCCCCGAAAGTTTCACCCACCCCCGGGGACATATGTCTGAAAGAAACACTGGTTGAACTTAGGTTGGAGCGCTTTTAAAAACAAATTTAATTTGGTGTTTAACGGCAAATATTTGAGTTTTATAGCAAACACAACTTCTTTATTCGCTTGGGGTTAACTGCACTTTGAGTTAGAAATGTTTACTTCGATAATGTAAAAACAATATAAACTTGTTCTGAGGTAAAAAAAAAATTGATTTCTGTTGTGCTCTGTTAAAAATGTGTTTCGGTAATCAAAAACCTCCAGTCCTCCCCACAATAATTTCCTTCAGGGTTTGAGCCGCTGTGAGGATGAGACCACCAGCCATTTCCAGGCTTGTAGATCGACGCCCCACTGGAACCAGGACATGTACATGTTGTGTACGTGTACTTGGTGTGCCATTTATTTCGGTTACTCTTTCGTGTCCACTGTCCTACAGAGACCTGTTTAGGACAGCCATGAGGATGTGACACTATAACTATCAACTTGTCTACATCAGTAAATCGTTTGTATTTGCTTCTTACTTTCCCACATAGATCATCAAAGTGCCGCCGCATCGTGTCCAGTTCATCAACCAACTCTACTTCACATGACACACAGGTAAACA